ACTTAGATTAGTTGGTCGGGCATCTGTTTGTCTGTTGTAAGTCCCCTCTGGTTTGGGGTTCGATTTCCCTTGGTGGAGGGTGTGATCATATACAGCGAAATAAGGTCAGGTGGCACACTCATAAAACTTTTTTTTTTCTTTTCAGCAAACATAAATCCGTTTGTCTTACGATTGGTTGTTTGAAATTTTATTTTTTTTTTCTTTTCAGCAAACGTAAATCCGTTTGTCTTACGATTGGTTGTTTGAAATTTTATTTTCTCTTCTGAAAATTAATTTTTCCCCCTTAAAGAGGCTGATATGAACCGTGAGATGGAGAGGAAGGCGCAAGAGAGAAAACGAAGTCAAAAAATTGATTTTGTTTCCGGTGGCATACAACCCGGGGAAGTTGCTCCAGCAGTAAAGATGAATAACAAAATTCCTGGTAACATTTTTTGTTTTTGCTTGATCTTAAATTGATTGAAGTTCATTAGTATCTTACCATGTTATATCACCTGTTATTTACTCTTTTTTGTCCGAACAACAGCTGTGGAAGTTTCAACCGGCGTCCATCATGAGTTGCAACCAGTTCCGACGACTGTGGATGCATCAAGAGACAGCAGGCTGAATAAGAAATCAAAATGGGACAAGGTATGCTTTAGCTAGCTCTCCAAGTTATTTAAATGGGTGATAGAATTTTTAATAGAAGAAAATATCCAGTATTTTTACAAATTATTTATAAATAAATCACAGTAAACCTCTTTAAACTTATCAATATATTTTTTTTATGTTGGAGTTGGTATTGCTATTCTGGTACTACCAGGGTGGCAGTTGTGTTATTTGCAAAATTCTGAAGTGGAATAGCTTCCATGTGTATTGGTGAAATTTTAGTGCCTGCCATTGTCCCTTTGGTCTCATTTGTTACTTGTACTGATTTTTAAGTGCTTTCTGGCTTCAACATTATTCCAGCTTGAATGCTTTTGTTTGCATCTGCTTTTTGCTGCAATTTTCACAAAAGTAATGCAATTTTAATTTTAAAGCTGCTTAAAGCTCTCATTCTAAGCCTCAATTTATTTGCATCTTGATTTTTTTTCAAACCACTCTGTGTTTAATACCATTTGTTAATTCCAAGCTTTTGACCATTTTAGCATCAACAGTAAAGATGAATTTTGATATGTGAGTTAGAATTTGAAAAAAAAAGTATGAAAGAGGGTGCTAGTTTTATAAATAGTGAAGTTTCGAGTGACATTTATGTAATTGCACTTTTTTTTTGTCATCTTTTATTTCTATATTTTTATTTTAATTATTATTTACTTATTTTCTAGTGAAAGACCCCCCAGACACCTCATTGGGCAACCATAAATAAAAGATAAACATCATTCTATCACAATATTACCAGATAATTTATTGGCATCTTTCGTTGTTCATTGAGATTTATGGGACATTCTGCAAGAAAATAAATAAATAAATAAATAGATATAAAAGATGGCAACAAAAATTTTAAAAATAATTAAAAATAGTGGAGGTTGTTGTCAACTTGCTAATGTTGCAGCATTTGTTAGGTAAGGCTGACAGCCTCATGAACCGGACAAAACCATACAAGTTTGATGCCGTACAGACTACTTTCCTCTCATTATCTTCTTGGTTTTACCGTGGCCGCCCTTAAAAGCGAGGAAAATTTGCATATGTAAGACTTACGTAGAGTTGCGTACATCGGAGGTTATTCAGAGGGTATTGGGGGGTTATAGGTAGGTTACAGAGATGTTACAGAGGGTGTAACCTACCTATAACCCCCCAATACCATCTGAATAACCTCCGACATACGTAGCTCTCGTATGTCTTACATACACAAAATTTTCTCCTTAAAAGCTTGTAGCTTGTTTGATTCTGCTATTGCTTATCACAAAAGAATTCCACATGAAATTTTAACCCATCCCTTATATAGCTATTTTTTTTACCTTTATGCTCTGTTGCTCCAATATTTATGTCTGTAGTCACCTTTTAGTTTCCAATTTTCTCAACCATTGCATTTACATACTTCATATTTCTCTATTTTTGATTTTAGGATGTAGTTACTGTTATTTTCTTTTATTTTTTTTCTTTTTCTTGGACTATTTAAGAGTATAGCTCAAGAAGAAGAACAAAATATGAGAAATTATTCTGTACGAATAACACATGCATCTATGCATGTGGTGTCCGATCTCCACCGTCGATCACCGCAGTTAAAATTAAAAAAAAATATATGTTGAAAGTGAGGCCCACTGAAATACATATTTGCGGGGATCGGCGGTGGAGATGCATGCGGTGTCTGTATGAAATAATTTTTCACAAAATATAAGATCAATGTTCAATGTTTACATACATACCACCGATCCCTATTTATTTACGTATCCAACACAAACTTTATTGTTTTACATTTATACCACAATTCTTTCATAGCACCCAAATACGTAATAGTGATACAACCCAATATAATTTCTTGAAGAATTTACATACATACCACACTTCTGATGTATTTACATATCAAGCACGTAAAATGCGATATTTACGCTTGCAACAACTTGGTGTGTATTTCTTTTAAAACGATAGTGATTGTTGTATTTTTGATGGGATGTCAAAAATTTGCGAGGTATGTATATAAATATGAATATTTCGGTGTTGGATATATCAATTCATGATAATTATGTGGTATCTATGTAAATACCCTCCCTCTTATAAACTTGTCTGAGAAGTCCAACATGCATTTATAATGCTGAATGCTACACTTATCTAGATAATGCAACTATGTTTTAAGGGCTAAATATTATATACTACATTACAAATTAATAATCTAAAAATAAGCATATGGTCTGAATATCAGCACAGAAGAAGAGATGATACGATCCAACTAGGGCTGTCAAAAAAGCTCGTTGTTGGTGAACAGTTTGTGTTTGATTTGTTCGATAAGTAAACGAGTCGAACGTGAACAAATTTTTTTCGTTCGGTTAGTTAAACGAACCAAACACGAACAATGATGCGTTCGTTTATGTTCGAATAATTTTTGTTCGAAATATAAAATAATTATATATAAAAAATTTATGATATTTTTAAAAATTAAATTTATAAATTATAATATATAATAAATCAATAATAACAATATATTAATATACTATATTAGAAATATACAAATATATATATTATATATTTATATAATATAAGTTTTATAATTAATATAATATATTATTTATATAAGGGATATCAAACTGGCTCGTCATTCACGAACAATTCGTGTTTGCTCGTTCGTTAAGAAACGAACACGAACAGTGACTTCACGAATAATTTTAAACGCGAGCTTATTTCAAACAAACTAAATTTCAAACAAATCGAACACAAACACAAGCTCTCTTCGTTCGTGTTCGGTTCGTTTACACCCCTAGATCCAATATGTTGGATAGAGACATTCCAAGAACTTAAATATGGAGAGAGTTGGGATGAAATTTAAATAAAGAACCTATTGGCTATAATAAAAAAAAAAGGGAAATTCATATACATAACTTAAAAGCCTAATATATTCTTTATATCTAACATGTAAAATGTGATATTTGTGTACAATATATTGTTTAAAATATATGTGAAATACATAGAAATGTGTATTTCGCCCCATATTTTTTCTTCGATGTTAATTGTTATACATATAAGTATGAAAGTTTAGGTGTTAGTTTGTTCGAAATTGTTGTGAGTTGCATGTTTTTCTTCGAGTTGTTTGAATTCATTTGCGGCTCGTATTTAGCTTCAATTATTTAAAAATAGTAATAAGTTCAACTTTTTAGATAAAATAAAAATATTTAAAAATGAAAAGTTATCATTATTTTATGATTTATATAATTAATATAAGCATAAAAATTTCTAATAATTAATAATTATTATTTACTCAATTGTTTAGAAACTAGATTGAATTGTCTTGGCTTTAGTAAGCAAAGACTGAGCAAAATGAAAGAAATTTAAAGGAAACATAAGAGAAACAGCTCAGTGTGATCAATGCCAATACTAATGCAAGAAAGCAACAGGGGTGTAGTAGGAGAGGTAAAATGGAGTTCATATGGGCCAAATATAGCTTATGATGAATATGATTAGTTAGCTCATTGTTAAACCAACAATAGTGAACCTAATATTGGAGGATAATTATGGTCATTATTAGAGTTGTCTGACGTGGCAAGAGTAAAGGGGGGAGAGTAGGGTAACAATGGTGAAACTAGGTGGAAGTTGGAGATACTTGTTATTCTTAATTTATACTGTTGTTGTGTGGGAAGATTTACGGTGGTAGAGTAATTAATTAGTGTCTTAGTATTGTATGAAAACCCAACACACACGCACATATATATAATAGAGAAGTAACGGGAGAAGACACCACGATTTTTATGTTGAAAATTTTGAAGAGGGAAAAAATCATGAGGTATGTCCCACTGTCGAATTAATCCACTTTTTAATAGTGAGTACATACATCCACTTTTCTCCTAAATTAGGAAAGATTGAATTGCAAAACTATAATAACGGTGCTACTTCAATAGTTGTACATGGGCTACAATAAATATAGTTCTTGGTAGCTTTAATAACATCAACTTTTCTTAGATGTCGTAGTTGGAAGTCGTCATAGTAGTTGGTCATAAACGCCGTTGTTGGTGGATTTAGAAGCATCAGTTGGTCATAAAGGCAACAATAAAGGCTGTAATAGCGTTGGTTGGTCACAAATGCTGTAGTTAGAAGTTGCAGTTAGCAGTGAGCCACGTAAGCCATAATTAGAAGCTACATTTGTTGTTGGCCATATAGGTCATAATTGATCACATAGGTCATAGTGGTGAGTTGTGATAGTTTCAGTTGGCAAAAAAGGTCATAGAGTAGGGTTGTAATCACAACAATCTGCTACGTTGGTCGTAGTATGGTTCTGTTCTAATGTTTGTAGGCCATCAAGGCTAGGTTTAGGAGCTGCATGAGATGTGAGTCACGTCGTAGTTGGGCACATAGGTCGTAGTGGTGAGCTATGATAGTGTTAGCTATCCACAGAGACCGTAGCAGAGGGCTATAATGATAACATTCAGTCATGTAGGTCATAGTAGGGAGTTACATGTCTCCGTAGACCATAAAGGGTGGAGTTGGGAGTTGCCTGACTCGTGAGTTACGTAGATCGTAGTTAGTCACAGAGGTCGTAGTGATGAGCTACAATAATATTTGTAGGTCATAGAGGCTGACGTTGGGAGCTACAATAACGTCCATAGACCACAAAGGCCAGAGATGATAACTGTGTGAGCTATGAGCCATGTAGGTCGTAGTTGGCAGAGGTTGTAGTAGTGAGTTACAATATGTATGTAGGTCACATATGACTGAGTTTGGAGTTGCGTGACCTATGAGCTATATAGGTCGTAGTTGCTCACATTAGCTGTAGTTATGATTTGTAATAACATCCTTAAGTCACAAGGGCCCAAGTTGGGAAATACTTAACTTGTGAGCCTTAGGTCATAGTTGGTTGCATAGGCTGTGGTGATGAGCTGTAATAATATCCATAAGTTAAAGAGGTCAAAGTTTGGAGTTGCAATAACATTTGTACGTCATAGAGGTCGAAGTTAAGAGTTGTGTGAGTTGTGAGCAATGCGGGTCATAGTTGATCACATATGTCGTAGTAGTGAGTTGCAATAATGTACGCAGACCACATGGGTCAGATTTAGGAGTTGCATGAGTTGTGAGCGATGTAGGTTGTGATTGGTCGCATGCCATAGTGGTGAGTCGCGATATTATAGGTAAGCCACAGAGTCGCGATATTGTTTGTGAGCCATGCGGGTCATGGTTGATCACATATGTCGTAGTAGTGAGTTGTAATAATGTACGCAGACCACATGGGTCAGAGTTGGGAGTTGCATGAGTTGTGAGCCATGTAGATTGTGATTGGTCACATGACATAGTGGTGAGTCTGATATTGTCCGTAAGCCACAAAGGTTAGAGTTGGGAGCTGCATGAGCTGTGAGTCATGTGGGTTGTTGTTGGTTACTTAGCTCATAGTGGTGAGCTGCAATAGCCTGTGTATGCCACAAAGAATGAAGTTAGGAGTCGTATGAGCTGTGAGTTAATTAAGTCGTAGTTGGTCACATAGGCTGTAATGTTGAGCTACAAGAGCACCAGTTGGCCACCAGGGGTCGTAGTTGGTGCTATATCGGTAGGTGGTTGCAATAGAGACATTACTTATCACTATGCGAAGTAATAAGAGAACTTTAAGAGTCCAAAAAAGGTCTTCATATTCTGAGTTAGGAGATTGCAAGCAAGTATTATAAGGATCTATTGTTAGAAATTTGGCACATTACGTCTGAGGTACATCATTGCACAATATTTAAGTCATGTTTCTATGTAGGGTTCTTTGTTACTCCATAGGGTGCTTCATTGTTTTATAATATAATTCTTTATTCTACATGGTGCTTCGTTACTCTCAATGTATGTCATTACTTTGTAAGGTGCTACGTTGCAAAGTATGTTGTTACCCTATAAGTTCTACCAATGGAAACGAACAGAGGGAGACCCACAATGGTAAATGATGGACGGTGAGCAGTGGTCGAAGATGGTCGACAACCATGGAGGCAAGTAGTGATCACTAGGTCTTCGGTCAATAACAACTCTAAAAATTGGCTTCTTCTCCTCCTTCGGGTCCAAGTCCTCCCTTCATGA